AAATGAAATTTCAAGTCATGATTCAAAGCGATACTTGCACAAGAAGAACTAACGAAGCCAATAAACCAATTGATTTCTTTGAGTACGTATAAAAATATAAATCTTCCTTCTCATGATTTCTGAGGTAAGTGTTCTTGCCTTTGAAAATTGAGGTTTCTTTTCAGTACAGTGGTCTCTATTCAAGCCACAACCCCTTGAGTGGTATCTATGGCAGACCCATTCTGCTTGTAATTTCATTGGGAATTTTTAAAGATGTGCCTGCCCATGACTATGCTAGATCTAACCTAGGTATAGCTTAGACATTTATGTCTCTCTGGAATTCATATGTTGGAACTTAAACCCCAAAGTGAACACTTTAGAAGGCAATTAATTACCTTCTAAAAGGACTGGATGCCTTTTGTCTTTTGTATCCCCTTATGCTGTGACTGTTGAGGTGCTTAGACTCTCCCTAACAGCAAGCCTGCTGACAGCCAGGACTTTTTTCCACTTGAGGTGATGGTGTCAGACTGTGACACCCAGGGAATCTATTGCCTTAGAACTGCCTGTAAAAGACACTTTTGAGGGTGGAGGTGGGATAAGTGTGGCAGATGTGAGATTAGACTGGGAGCAGACATAGACTGTGTGCACTATGAGGCTGGGGACCTTCCTAAATGTCTCACTCTGCATTAATGTAAGTCTTGTTGAAATGACCACTGTTGGGTCACATATGTTACTTTGTTCTAATAGCAGTGTTCTTTTCATACAGCAATTTGACAAAAGTATACAGAAACTTCTAGCAACTAGGATTGCTGTCTACCTGATGACATTTCTAATTGTAACTGTGGCGTGGGCAGCACATACCAGGTAGGAAGTCAGACCTTTAATACAAGGTCCTCATTGTCATGAGTTACTCAGGGTAGGCAAAGGAGGAACAGGAGGCTTCCTTAGGCAGAGCTGGGCATGTAGGTGTTGCATTCCTGGCTGTAGATCAGCATGTTCAAAGGAAATACTCTTCAGAGAATGCTTAGTGTGCAGAAAAAATCCAGGTCCTAGTAAAGATTTCACTGCTCTGTGTGTATGTATGTTTGTGTGTGTTTGTGAGAGATACAGAGACAGACAGAGAAGAGAGAGAGAAACTAGTCGACCAGCCTGCCTCTGCCTCCTAAATGCTGGGATTAAAGGCATGCATCCAGCTCACTGCTCTTTAAAAGTACATTGAAAAGTACAGAAAAATGTTTCATGTTATACACTTGTCAATGCTGATAGATGCCTTTCTGTTTGAAGAGTTGGGCAGGCTTGCTCTATCTATCTATCTATCTATCTATCTATCTATCTATCTATCTATCTATCTATCTATCTATTTATTTTTGTCTCCCTTGTTTATAGAATGTCCAGGAGGCTTACAGCCTGGTGGGTGACTTTAGTCAACCTTCTCTATACTGCGTCATGATTCATTCATTAGGGGCCACACCCACTGTGAAAAATATCAACAGCAGGGTTCTGAGGCCCAGGGAGCCTGCAGAATAGATCTATTCTGCATCCTGCTTTGGGTATTCAATACACGCATGGTCTTAGTACCAGCAAGTAGGCAGCAGAACTGCCATCTCTGGGATTGTAGCCCCTTCTATCTGGCTTAGTAAGACTCCATCCCAAATGAGCCTGTGCCACTGACATGAGCTAGCGGTAGCTCCCAGAGTGAGAATGCCAGCTCAGCTGAGTCCAGTCCAAGAGAAGGACGTGCTTGGAGTTGGATGGGTGGCATCCTGAGCCACAGTGAAAGACTACTGAGAGCAACCCTATTGCAGGGCCCAGGCATTGGAGGAAGCTTCATGATTCTTGGCAGTCTGTGCTCATGTTTCCATGAAGGATGGTGCTCCATTTTGTTTTCTATTTACGTTGTAGTATCTCCATATAAAACCATTTCTCTGTTAAGTACCAACTTCCAGCAGGTGCAGTGTATGAAATCTTTGAGGGGAAAATGAGGAAGGAATATTTCCTTTCTTCAAAATGGATTTTAGACATAATGAATAAAAACACAAGTGTACTGCACAATAGAGCTCTAGCTTTACATCCCCAGGGCTGATTCCCAGTAAACTCACAGGACAGGTAGCTCACAGCCACCCTGCTAGTCCTGCCCTTAGCAGGACCACCCTGGACAGTTAAAAGTCCCCTACCTTTGTGCAGAAGTCTTCTTCAAGACTTTCTCTGAAAAGACTGTCCCTAAGAGCTACAAGCTATACCGGTGATTTCTATAAACTATTCCTGCAAAATAATAGGAAGAATGTTATGGAAAAGATACATGCTTCCCTGCATAAGCTATGTTTTCTTTGAATTTTCTGACTTTCATACACTAGGTAGTATTTACATTTTTTAAAAGTTAAATTTTAGCCGGGTGGTGGTGGCACATGCCTTTAATCCCATCACTCAGGAGGCAGAGGCAGGCAAATCTCTGTGAGTTCCAGGTCAGCCTGGACTACAAGAGCTAGTTCCAGGACAGGCTCCAAAGCCACAAAGACACCCTGTCTTGAAAAACCAAAAAAAGAAAAGAAAAGAAAAAGAAAAAAAAAGTTAAATTTTATTTTGTGTGTGTGTGCCAAAATCAGAAAGCAGAGGATGGCTTGTAGGATTTGGTTCTCTCCTCCTGCCCTGTGGGTTCAGGGATCAAACTCAGGTTCTCAGGATTAATAGCAACCTTAATAGCACCCTAGTCTTCTCATCAGTCCCACTAGGTAGTATCGTAGCATCTTAAATTTGATCAAAAGTGACATCTTTAGTGACGCTTTAGCTAGAAAATACTGTGGGAGGTGCATTTTAAATTTAATATTATTGGAGCCATATTTGAATGATGGCCCATCTTCTCTTTTTCCTAACTTTAGATTGTTCCAGGTTGTTGGGAAAATAGATGATACACTTGCCTTGCTTAACCTGGTGAGTTATTGTTGTTTTGAAAAATGAGTTTAGGTATGATTTAACCCTCTTGAAAGATAGGAAAGGTATGGGTCCCCACAACCTGGATTCTGTCCATTCCTGAAAGTTCCTCAGATAGCCCATGGGGTCAGTCTATCCAGGACAGGGGCACAGGCTTCTTGGGTCTAGTGCCACAATTCCTGTAGATATATTGCTGCCTTCCTGGAGTGTCCCTTACTCTCTAGGCTTTCTGGTGACTGTGACCTCCCTCCTTTCCTTTCACTACAGGCCTGCATGATGACCATCACCCTTCTTCCCTACACAGTGAGTAAAAAGATCATCTCCCTGCAAGCCTCACTGAGCACATCCCTGTGTGACAGTCCTTAGAAGTGCAGGTTCAAGCCAGGTGATAGTGGCACACATTTTTAACCCCAGCACTCGGGAGGGAGAGGCAGGCGGATCTCTGTGAGTTCGAGGCCAGCCTGGTCTACAAGAGCTAGTTTCAGGATAGGCTTCAAAGCTACAGAGAAACCCAAAGCCAAAAAAAAAGAAAGAAAGAAATAAACAAACAAAGAAAAGAAAAGAAAGAAAGGAAGAAAGAAATGCAGTTTTAAGTCCTGGAGTACAAATTACAAAGAGAGTTCCAGGAACTAGTGTTTGGGGCTGAATAAAGAGGAAAGAATTTAGGACTGCTAGAGGCAGAGGCCACTGAGAATGTCCCTGCTGCCCCTTCCTCCCACCTGCCTCTCTCCATAATCTCCACAAGCATTTAAAATTCTAATATAGGCATTGTAGCTATACAAAACTATAACGTAGGTAATTCAGACCTGAAGGATTTACATGAGGTTAGTGATACTGACTTTAAAGGCCTGAAACAGTGGGTTGCAGAGCTGAATATACCCATGCCCAACCCCATTCCCTTGTCCTCTCACTAGGACAGTTTTCTTCTCAGTGCAGCAGACGGGGAAGCTCATTATACAGCACCTCAGAACCTAGCTCTGATAGCCTTTTGGGGGTTTGTGGGGGTTCTTTTGACAGTTTTCTCTAATGGTGACGTTTCCTGATGTGCCCCTGGGCATCTTCCTGTTCTGCATGTGTGTGATTGCCATTGGATCTGTGCAGGTAGGGACACGGGATATGATGTGTGTTTGCCATGGGGTGTGCAGGTCAGGTGCCAACATCCTGGTCTATGTCTCAAGTAGGGGTATTACCCATAATTGCACCTGGGATGTGGCATACCCAGGGCCTCACAGTCTCAGAATAGGATGAAAGTTTCTACCTTCTTCTTGACCCCAGCCTCTTAGAACTTCCCAGGGTAGGAGGCTATCAAGGAGTGACCCTCCTGCGCCTAACCCCTAAAAATGTGTTGGCTCAAGGGTTAACTGGTACTTCCTCTACCTGCTGATGGTGCCCTCTAACCTGTTTTGTTTGTTTTGTTTTGACTACAGGCACTGATTGTGGGGTATGCTTTCCACTTCCCACACCTGCTGAGTCCACAGATCCAGCACTCTGCATACAGGGCCCAGTCCCAACGGCACATCCTGCGCCTAGTCCTCCGTGGCCCAGCTCTGTGTTTTGTTGCAGCTATCTTTTCTCTCTTCTTCTTCCCCTTGGTGAGCACTGAAAATCTCAGAGGAAGTCTTAGCACAGCTGAAAAACATCGTGGACAGCCAACAGGAGAAAAAACAGGCAATGCTGTAGAAGCTGACTTGAACAGGGTCCACTTAAGTACTATGAAAGTATATTGAATTTTAAACCAAAGTATCCTAAGAATTGTGGAAAATAACAAACACTAGTTATTTTAAATGTTTGGTAATAGGCATGAGCATCCTCACACATGCATACAAACAAAAAATAATAATTAAATGTAGTTAAAATTAAATAAGTAAAAATTAATGAATTTTGGTAAGCATTTCAAGACCTTGGCAGGTCATCTTCTTGTGAGGGGATAAGGTTCCAGCTGAGTGGGTAGGAGCCAGGGAGCCCAGAGACTTTTAAACTACAACAGAACTATATATAGGAAACATCTATCCAAGCAGCCCTTGACTGGAGAGGTCACAGGTAAAGTATCTTTTCAAGCCCATTCCCTTTAATTTCTTACTTGGAATGCATACCTTCTGTTGTTGAGCTGTTTCCATTCTTTATGTATTCTGGATACTAAATTCTCAGAAAGTACACGACTGGTATGCATTTCTTATTTATGATAGTTCTTCCTTTTGAGATTAAGCCTTTATACACAGTTCGTTTCCATAAAGGACAGTTTTCTGCATTTTCCTTTGTTGCTCCTGCTGTCCCTCCATCTGTGGCAGAAGAATGCAACCAGACTTCAGGTGTGAGCAGTTCCCATTTCCAGGGAAACACCCTGACCTGTTTTATTTCTTTCTGTAGTCGTATGTGCTGATGGTGACTGTCATCTTCCTCCCTCATATCAGCAAGGCTACCACCTGGTGCAAAGACAAGCTCATGGGTAGGTAACCATGCACAGTAAGCATGTTGGAAAGTTCCACTGGCTACTTCCAAGAACCACTGATTGGGAATAAGGCATCAGTATGTAGTGGCCCTTCTGGGCTGAGCCTTGCTCTGGTGGTGGGTTTGCTGGGCCCTGGCTGCTTCTTGCCCCTTAAATATCTCTGCATCATTTCACCTCCTGGCCTGTATATTCCTGTCCCCTTGGAGAAGAGGGCAGTGATAGCCATACTGGTCTGACAGTCCCCCACCTAGGCTATTTCCTTCCTTTGGCATGTCCACAGGCCACAGGGAGTCTCCAGCTCACAATGTGGAACCCTTCAGTATTGATCTGCACGCACCTCTCAGCAAAGAGCGGGTGGAAGCTTTCAGTGATGGTGTCTATGCCATCGTGGCCACACTCCTCATCCTGGACATCTGGTGAGGACCCCAACTCTGCTCCTTTGTCCCATCTTCCAGGTGGTAGTATGTCTTTCAGTGTCTTGTCCTTAGGAACTCCAGAAAGGTATTACCTGCAGATTTATGTAGGCGCCCTCTTCCCCCTCGACCTGAAAGCACAGGTGCTAGGGAGAGTGACATTTTCTTTTTTTTTTTTTCCCCACCTGGAGAATGACATTTTCAAGGGTGCCTTGTGCTCTCTATCCCAGGAGTATTCAAGCAGCTCCCTCAGACCTTCTCCTCTTCCATACCTCTATGGCTTCTCTCTGACCTGGCTCTGATACAGTACTGTTGGAGCTCTAGTTTGGGTGCTCACTTTTATTCCCAAGTGTCTCTCCCACCCCACCTACCCCAACCCCTTTTTTAAAGCCCCTTGACCTCATCTAGTCTATGGTTCCTCAGTCATATTCCATTGCATTCTTATTTTATTAAACATGTTACAACTCTGGTTTTAGATTCTGCATCTGACACTATGATTCTCCTGATACTCTTGAGTAGGTTTTCCTATTATAATTTGTGAATTCTTATTAGCTAGAAGTAAATATTCATTAGTACTTGATACCTCAGGCCTTAGATTTAAAGAGTATTTCAGAACAATCTCCTTTTGTTTCCATTGCCAGGGCTGAAGGACTCACAGCTAAGAGGCCATGCTAGGGCAGGAAATTGTAGCCAATAGAAGGCTGCCACCTCCTGCCTGGAGTCTTACCTCATATGACAGCCCTCAGGCTCTTCTCTTTTGCCCTCACTTATGTCCCTCCTTCTGGCTAATTTGGAGAAAGCAGTGGGTACTTGGGCGTCCTGTCATACATGTCCTGGTGATGGGTTTCCATCGCTAGACTCTATGCTTTAACACAAGCTGCAAGATTCAGGATAGCTGTGGAGGCTGTCTTTTATAGGCGTCCTACCCTCAGAAGGCTGTCCTTGGCCATTGAACCAGAACTATCTGTCAATTCCTGGCTGTCAGATAGGGCCACCGGTTGGCAGAGAATAATATACAGGGCTGGTTAAATTTGCATTTCGAGTGAAGAAGAGTGGTAACTGATTAGTATGCTAAATATATGTAAGTAGCACATAGGGAACATTTGTGTACTAAAGATCACACGTCATTAATCTCAAATTCACTTATGTTGCTTTGTCTATCCTGGGGGTCCTGCCTTCTTTGGGAGGCTATTACAAATGCCATCTGTTCATACTTCCCAGTGAGGACAACGTTCCGGATCCCAAGGATGTCCAAGAGAAATTCAGTGGCAGCCTTGTGACTGCCCTGGGTGCATATGGGCCACAATTCCTGGCATACTTTGGCTCCTTCGCCACAGTGGGTCTGCTCTGGTTTGCCCATCATTCACTCTTCCTGCATGTCCGGAAGGCTACACAGACCATGGGGTTACTCAACATACTGTCACTGGCCTTTGTGGGTGGCCTCCCTCTGGCCTACCAGCAGACCTCAGCTTTTGCCCGACAACCCCATGATGAACTTGAGCGTGTGCGTGTCAGCTGCGCCATCATCTTCTTTGCCAGTATCTTCCAGTTTGCCATCTGGACTGCAGCCCTGCTGCATCAGACAGAAACACTGCAGCCAGCTGTGCGATTTGGTGGGCAGGAGCATGCTTTCATGTTTGCCAAGCTTGCACTGTACCCCTGTGCCAGCCTGTTGGCCTTTGCTGCCACCTGCCTGCTGAGCCGGTTCAGCACAGCCATCTTCCACCTCATGCAGATTGCAGTGCCCTTTGCCTTCCTACTGCTCCGTCTCCTTGTGCGCCTTGCCTTGGCAGGCCTTCAAGTCCTGTGGGACCTCCGGCCAGAGCACCCTCAATCAGGCCAGGGTGAACCTGAGGCACAGTCTCAGCTCTTGCCTGCCCCCTGCTAATGCCAACGAAGCTACATCTGCCCATTCCAGGCATACTGTAAGGGGTTCTATGAAGATGGCTCGGTAGAAGTTTGTGACCTTGGGGCTGTGGTTTTATTGGCTTGAGTATTGTGTACATTGCGAAATATCAAGATCTATTTCAAGATTATGAACATTGTTCACATTTTGCAGTAAGGGGTTTCATGGGAACTAATTTTATTGCTTTTACCCATTTACTTTCCTCTTTCCTCCCTTCCCCAACACTGCCATGGGAAGTTACCTTCTGAATAACCTGAATAAGCTGCTTGGGGCTGTCACTGAGGTCTTGTTTGAGGCAGTAGCACCCAGCCAAGATCAGAGGACCATCCCTTTTACTTGCTGTGTCCTGCATGTGGCCACACAAGCCATTCTTATGCTCAGAACCTTCAGGCAGTTGAGTCTGTGCTAAGTCAGGCTGAGAAGTTGCTGCCTGGCTTATGTCCTCACAACTGCAGAGCTTCCCTGGTGGGACTGACAGTTTCTCTACCCATTCCCATACCAGTTTTTAGACAAAAAACTAAAACAAGAGGCAGCTACGGGACAGCAAAGCCCACAATGTATTTGGCCCAGATATAAGTTAGATCACATTCAGGTAGTGATAAATTACACACAGAGACAGGACACACTCCACAAAGTGACAGTCTCACCTAATACAGAGGACATGCTACACTGACCTTAATTTACAAACAATTCCTATAGATTGAAATAAAAGTGAAAAACTACATCACAATTTCTTTTGAACGTGGAAAATGATGTAAACATGAGGAACATCTATACTGAGAACACAAATGGCTATCTGATGCACTTGTATGCACTTTTGGCAAAAGCAGGTGAGGGTATGGCATAGTGGGCCTATGAAGCTGCCAGCCAGGTAAATCTCCTGGGATCTAGACCTATTTACTTGTTTGTGGGGGTTAGCATCAGAGACTGCTTCCCACATAGGTCCTTCCCCATCTGGGGCTGGCCCACTGACATCTTTGGCCCCCATTTCCCCCATCTTTTTACTTTTGGGGAGGGGTTTTAATTCTACAGCCCAGTCAGTTCTTGAGCATGCTATTCTCTTGCTTTAGTTCCAAAAAAAATGAATTACAGACATGCACCACCAGGCTTAGCTAGACAGCTCATTCTGGGGTGTACTCCTTTGGGGTCTGAGGTGTGACAATTGAATTCTTGGGTGCATGGAAGAGACAGCTTTGTCTTATTCTGTGAACCTGATGCCCCCAGCAAGGTCTGGCCATCACAGCTACCTTGGTTTGTAGGAGCCAGAGTAGCAGCTCTACATCTACAAGGAAGGGCTGCAGGCTGGCAAACAGCATGTATATAAAGTGCTATAAGTTGAGTCTAAGGGAGCTTTAGCCACTCCACAACAACAGATGTTATTTACACATTCCTCAACCAGGTTCCACCTGGCCCTGTTCTGGTCCCTTCTTGGCACTAGGTGCCCACTTGAGGGCTGAGGAGGGACACTCAGGCCCTGGCTCACACTCCAGCTGTGACACATGGGTGACACCTGAACTTTACTAGCCTCCCCTCCCTAGGTATAGCTTTTCAGCTCAGAGCCACCAGCTGGATGAGACCTTGCAACTAATATCTTCAGCCCAAACTGCTGTCTGGTGATGAGCCCAGAGGACTTGAGGATGCCACACCCACCCGATGGGGGCAGGAGGAACAAGCAGCATTCTGTATCTGCCAGGCCAGGGCCTAACAGGGCTAGCTGCTTTGAAAGAACACAAAATAAGATCAGAGGGCCTACCTGGATGGCCTGCATCCAAAAGTGTTGGGCTCAACGGGCTCTAAGAGAGGTTTTAAAGGAAGGGGTGTGACTAACAGGTCCAGCTTCACTGATCCTATAAGGACCAGTCGTGTGCAGAAGACAGGCTAGCCAGAGCCCCATGCCCATGTCATATAGACCAGTACTGTGGCAGAAAGAGCAGTGGCCAATACTTACCCACTGCTAGGTTTACACATGACATTGAATAGGGATGAGGTATGGTAACATCCTAAGACCCATGAAGATGTTATGGTCAGTGGTATAGCTAAGTCCATCTGTTGGCCAGCCAATGTGTGATTGGAACAGAACCAAAGACGAGGGCTGGGTAGTTGAGACCCTTCATCTTGGCTCCTCTATTAAGGATTGCTCTCAGGAGCAGGCAAGGTGTCCACTCGGGTTTCCCTGATGTTGCCAGCCTTCCTGGGCTTCTGCTTGGCCTTCCTCAGCATGTGGACCTGTTCCAAGGCAGGGATGGAGGGTCAGAAGGCCAGAGTGACATTACAAGTGATAGCTCTGGGACCTCTGGGCCAGTGAATACTTGGCTCCATTCCACAAAAGAGGGGCAATGACTTCAAAGAGCTGGCTGCTTTCTCCAGGGCCTCATGACACCTGGAGTCCGAGAAGACCAATGCTTAGACCCACCTGCCTACGTGGCCCTAACCCTGACCCATCTTACCTCTGCTCTCAGCCTTGCCAACCTACCTTAGGGGCAGTAGCGGAGATGATCATGTGCCCTGGGGCCTGAACCCAGGGCTCACCATCCACTTGTACTGGAGTAGCCTTTAGGAGTGTAACACGGAAGTAGGAGCCCTGGGCAATGCGGATTCCAGAGCGCAGCCCACCCTGGACTTGGCCCTGGGCAAGACAAAAGCTGAGCTAGCTAGTGGGACCCAAGGGGTACCACAGGGTCTGCCCACCAGCCTGCCAGTGAGTGCTCACCATGTGCACGACACCCGTAACACCCACCACCTCCAACAGCCCGTCGTCTATGCGTGGCTTCTCAAACCTTGAGTCGTTGTCAGAGCCCCAGAGGTCAGCCCCTGAGCCCCAGCTGTCCCCAAAAGATGAAAATACAAAGTTAAGCACAGACCAGACACAGACCTAGCGTCTGGCCCAAACTGCAGAGTCTCTGAGAGCCCAGCCCCAGCACCTGGGGATGTTGATAAAGATGAGACCCTCAATGCTGGGTAGCTCCACCTCCTGCTGTTCCACCTGCAGCCGGATCTCCTTGTGTAGGCTTCGAGAGTGGCTGATCTTCTGCAGCCCGACCCGCACATATACACCCTTGTTGTGGAACCTGCCACAGAGGCAAACATCCTGCATTACCAGGTAAAAGCTGCTGGCTGCTGTGAGTGACCTGATCCCCCAGTCCTGCCCTACTAGTACCTGCTTGTGAATTTGCCAGGCTCCTCCTCACGTGCCTGGTGGAAATCTAGGCTGAGCTCCGCATCGATACCAATGCCACAGTAGTTATTCATCTGAACAATCTGGAGACAGGGCATAATAACCAGAATGCTGGCCAGCCACTCCCAAGTGTCCCAAATTGTGAAAGTCATCCCTGTTGTCACCAATGCCCTTTCCTAATAACCTCTCTGCTTAGATGCCACAACATCCCCCAGAGAAGGCAAAACCCCACAACCCCACAGGCTTGAGTCAGCAAGCTGCTGCTCTGCCTCCGGAGGAAAGATGAACATCAGCAAAGGGGGAGTCAAATATAAGATCCTAGCAGGTGCTACACTGGTACCTTGGGTGGCTCCGTGTCTACCGCACTGTTCTCTGTACTATCAGTCTCATGAGCATCCAGCAGGATTGTCCAGCGATCCATGAGCACAGCATCAGCCTCATCCACAGACACCAGCACAGAGAACGGATCCTCACCACTATAGCCTGCCCCCCAACGGAGGACCCGGCCAAGGTCATTCCCTAGGAAACAGGAAAGGCAGCATAATCCACATACCACCATAAATTTCTAGCAAAACCCATAGTAGGGGCAGCCCTGAAATCCCATCTTTCAAGTTGATGGCTAAGCCCACCTGTACCCAGGGGCAGGATGGCCACAGATGGCTCTGGGCAGGCCAGATGGCGCCTTGTCTCCTCCAGGGCAGCGAGCACCCAGCCCACGGTGCCATCTCCACCACACACCAGTACCCGAAAACAGGGCACCTGAGAGAAAAGGTGGAACCTGTGTGGGAGACAGTGTTCTGCCACTACCTCCTGGCTGCACAGGCCAGGACCTGGCCATTCTTTCTTGTCCTGGGCAGCCCTTTCCTTTTCAGATGTCCATGTCTGGCCACACAGAGGATTTAATGAGTCCAGCAGTGCCATTTGGAGTTCCTACTAGCTAGAGACAGGTAGGGGTTGCTCTTTCCACAAGCCAGAAAACTCCAGACTCACCCAGGAAGAGGGCCCCCGTTGGTCAGCTCAAAGACCTGGTGTGGATTCAGTAGCTTCCGGAAACTGTAGAGCAGCTCTCGGCCTTTGAGGCCCCCGCTCTTTGGGTTCACAAACACGAGGAGGGGACAGCAGTCAGGAGGCAGCTTCGTGTGCTGAGAAGTGGGGGACTGAATTATGTTGAGGTCAAGGTCCCACATAAGAATTGCTAAACAATGTCCAGCCTCAGATTCCAAGCGTACTAAGCCATAGCCAGACCTTCCTGAGACTAAGCAGACCGCATACTTGTTTCCAACTCAGAATATCTTTTTCCCTTGAGAACACCACCGTGGCTGCTTGGAGCTCTGAGCATAAATGCCAGGGACATACTATGACATATGTCAAGGGACCATTCCTACCCTGCTAGCCATGAAGCCACAGGCCCATGTTGGAAATCCATAGATCCTACTTGTTACGACCAGCCAGCTGGAGTGAGGCCAGGCTCTTGCAAAGCTACCAACATACCCTTTGGAAGTCAACAGCTTCCAGACTCCACTTGCCACGTGGCAGCCAAAGGACTCAATTTACAGGGTTAACCACACATCTCTTGCTGGTCATGGGGACAAAATCATTTTCCCCATACATAATACCAAGAGATAGTCCCTAGACACAGTAGGCTGGTTCAGGTCCCTACGCTGGTGCTGGATAACAGGAGACATACAAGCCAGGTACAGACACAGGATGGACAAGGACACACTAAGATGGGGTACCGACTGGACAGGCAGTGCCTGCACTTGACTCTTACTCACTTGCTGCAGGGAAGGCAGCTGACAGGAAACAAACTAATATGGCCTCATGCTTAACTGCCAGAGCTAGTTAGGGCAGTGCCTGGGTAAACATACAGGGGACTCTATATCCTTGAGCATTGGTAACAGCTACTTCCAGGGCAGAACCAGTAGGCAGGGGCAGGAGAGACTGGCAGGCACAACCTGAGCTCATACCACTTGAATTCTGTTCCTCTTAGACTTGAGTCTGAAGTAAGGATCAGAATTCAGGATACAAGCAGGCCATGGACACCTGCAGGTACTCCGTGGGGCACAGGCATAAGTCCTCTGGCACTCCTCATATGCAATTCCTCTGCTCTCTGTTGCCCTCTGAGTTTACCTCTTCCCAGCCACTGACAGGTATCTGAAGACGGGAAGCTCCACCTATTGGCCAGAAAAAAACCCTAGGCACAGGGCCACCTGGGTTGGGGCCAGCATCAAACTCTAAAGGACAGGGCTTGGCAGGATGTAGGCACATGGTCACAACACAACCTGGCCTTAAGTGGGGGTGGAACTGTGTCCTGATTGTGTAGTGTTGTGCCTGCATGTATGCTTGCACACCAGAAGAGAGCACCAGATCTCATAGGTGGTTGTGAGCCACCATATGGTTTCTGGGAATTGAACTCAGGACCTCTGGAAGAGCAGCCAGTGCTCTTAACCTCTGAGCCATTTCTCTAGTCTACCAGCTTTGGTCCTAAGCATTATGTCTCACTTGTTCAGAAACCATAGACAAGCACTGACTCTCTGACCTCTGACCCTCCAATGTTAATTGGCCAACCTTGTCCTTTTTGGGCTGTTATAAGGTAGGCCAAAGTGGCACATACCAGCCACCTGGCAATGAGGACATGGTCTTGGGTCATTAGGCTGGTATCAGAGTCCTAAGCACTTACCAGCACGTCTGGAAGCACTAGTGCGGTCAGGGGCCGCCCATGCACTGCTGTGTCTCTGGCCAGCATGTATAGCCGCTCAGCCTCCGCGAAGCAGGTGACATCCAGAATTACTGCACCTGCCACAGGTGGGCCAATGCTCAGGGAGGGTGTCCCATGCATCCCATCCACAAGGTACTCAGTGAGGAGTCCTGTGTATCCTGCCCCCAGGTGCCCAGGGAAGAGTGTATTGTGCATCCTATTCAAATGGTATTCAGGGCAGGGTCTGTCTTATGAAATCCACCCCCGAGATGTCACACCCACAAAATCTCTCCTGTGTATCATGCCAACCAGGCACCTAGGCAGAGCCTCAGCTACCAGTCTCAGCCTAAGCTCTGACCATAGCCGGCTCATGCCAGCTGACTATATGTCGCATCCACAGCAAGGGGCCACTCTTCCAGCAAAGTACTCCCACAGAGGACAGACTGAATTTAGGGTCCAGCAGTGGGTAAAGGGGTTCATCTCCCTGACCAACCATACTCACGCCCAAATCTAGTGCCATGAACTCTGCATGGTCTCTGAGTGCCCTGAGGTCACCTACCAAGAAGGATGGCAGTGCATCTGAAACCTTCCTTTCCCAGTAAAATATGCTGCCCATAAAGGTGACAGATTTGGGGAAACAGCTAATCTCAGCCACATTGTAACAAAAGCAACAGATGTAAACCAGAAAACAAAAAACCCAAGGGATGGTTTTAGGCATGTGGATCTGGAAAAGCCAGGCTTTTCTACCCCGCTCCAAAAACATCCACCAGACATCACTCACCTTGTAAGGAGTAGACGTGACTCACAGACACCACAGCAGCTGCATAGACAGTTTGCAGTCAGAGTGGCATATTGAGACCTGGACCTGACCTCCCAACCTAGGGCCAGCCTCCCTTCTAAGGACATCTATATACAGAGCACAGCCCACCCAAGCAGCCTTGACCCATCCTTTGGGGTCAGCCCCCTGGGAATTACCCATACCCTATTCCCAAACAAAGTCCTTGACTCCTGAATGTACAGGGACCCACCCCCAATAAGAAGCATAGACTAACTAGTAAACAAGAGGGGGAAACCAGAAGCATAAGACTGGCCTGGGGTGGGAACTGAGCAAGGGCTTCAGATGGTGCAAGAGGAGGCAAAAGAACTTAGGTTTAGCACCATAGCCCCACTGCCCAGTCAGGACCCCCTCCCAGGCAGAGCCCTGAATAGCCCAAGGTCACACCTTTGGTGGCCATGGCCTCATGCAGCAGGTTGCTGTAATCCTGGGGGGACAAGCCAGGTGGCAGGCCACCCACGAACAGGGAGACATGTGGGGTCATGGCCCTGCTCTCAGCCACGTAGAACCGCGTCTGGCTCACCTGGCGCACAGATGTCTGTAGGAAGAACAGGAATGGGGAAGGCTGGGCAGCAGTGCCCACAACGTTTCTCCATCTCCCCTCTTAGCTCTTGAGGGAACTAACTTGGATATTCTTGAGACTCAAGGCCTCCCAGCTCGAAATCAGTGGCATGTTATAGAGTGTACTGCCAGCCAGAGATATCAGCTGATGACTGGGGAGGGCATTGTGTCTGAGAAGAAATGCCCCTCTACAAGTGGCAGGTGGGTGGACAACCTCAGTGGCATTCTTCTGGAGGCCATGGCGAAGGGCTGCCAGTCCCCTGGAAGTATTGTCTATACCCACTGACCTGTCGGATGTCCCAGAGTCGGTCTAGCAGAGGTTCCTCATCCATCAGCACTGTCCTTTGGACTGTAGTATAGAGGGACACCGTATGTTAGCACTGGGTTCCTCCCTTCTAAGTCTCCGGGGCGGGTGGGGATGCAAGTGAATCTAGGTGGTCTAGCCCTAACGTCCTGGTGCCTCCCAGAGCAGCAGGCCCAAGCCTGTTACATAAAAGGATCTGAAAAATGCAGCTCACTTACCTTGTCTGCTGCTCATGAGCACCTCAATCAGCTGGAATTTCTCCTGATCCTCAACCTGTACAGCATGGGCCAAACATCAGGCCTAGAACAGAACTCTCATAACCACAGGACATGCAGAGGAATAGTAGCCTGGCCTATTGGGCAGGTGACCCCAAAGTTGGGTGGGAATGTCCAGTGTACATACCTGCCGTCCAAGCAGTGGGAGAACCTCCTGAACCACAGACCGTGCTGTACTCTGTGAGTTCACACGGATCGACACGTAGGCCACACCCACCCTGTGGGGGACAGGCTCAAAGTTTGGGCTTTGGATACTCACCCTAAGCCTCCCTCGTCAGAACCTGTGCTTTGAGTCTTACTTGAGCCAGGCAGGGTAGATCTTCAGGATCTCCTGGGCACGAGGCAGAGACCTGATGACCCAGGCCTCAGGCATGGAATCCCGGGGCCCAGGGCTTTTGCTAGTCTCTTCCTCAGTGGTCCCAGCCTTCCCCAGGGCCTGGGCATTGCCGGAGAGTGTGGTTAGGGGCAGTGCCTGCAGCTGGAAGTCCCTAGGGTCCTCGTTGATATAGTAGGCCCGGAGCGCTGCCTCCTGTAGAGGGTAGAGGCAAGTATGTGGGTCCAGGTGAACACAGGTATGGAGGGGCCAGACATGAAGGGCCAGGTAAGCAGGGGGGCCCCATAGTGTGTACCATACTTCTGTGCATAGGCTCACTCTTACCATCACCTCCTCATTCTGAGCCAGGCGGGAAACTGTAACCAGGCGAAACTGATTTCTCCTCACGGAGTCGTTGCCATCAAAGATCTTCAGGGTCTGTTTGGCTAGGCCAGAGGGGAGCAGCTGAGAATCTTGGGGGCCTGGAACTAGGCGGGACAGAGTGACAGCTACGTGGGATACTTACTGGATTCTGTAGCTGTCGGCACCTCTCTGCCTACACCTGTGGCAGCACTTCCATCTAGGCCATCATCCCCATCACCTGCAGGACAGACAAAACCCTGGCATTCAGTACCTGGCCAGCCAGGGTACATCCCAGTCCCACTTCTCTGTCTCACCAAGCTCCAGGGTCATGGCCTCAGGGATACGGAAGCAGTGCATCTTGCTGAAGTTGCGGGACAACAGGCGCACACACGAGGGAGGCAGTACCATGGAGCGTAGACGCCCAAATGTACACTCAGGTGTGAGAGCTGTGGAACACACTGAGTGGGCCTGGTGAGGCAAAGGTTAAGTCTGGCATCCTGGGCAGAAAAGCTGGCCAATTCCACATCCACCCGGCTACACACCCATCTAGATGGTGCACAAAACCAGAGGTGCTACTCCATAACCCAGAGCACAGTAGGATGTAGACAACTTAAAGAAAGGAGCTTTCCCCCCTCCCTCATCATAAGCCCTGTCACGGAGCCCACCCCTACCCACCCCATTCATCCCATTCCCATGCCCACCTGCACACCACACCACTCGCAGCGTACACCAGCCAGCACATCTGAGGAACCACAAGTCTTCCTACAGACCTCACACCGTGCACCAGAAGGCAGGTTCCCCTCCCGCCAGTGGTGGTGATATGTGTCCTGGGGATGGGGGGGAGCAGTCAGAAGCTCAGCCAGCCTAACCCCTACCAAACCTACCCCAGTACTTGTACACTCACATAATCCTGCTGTCCATCCTGGTGACACTGACGACAGTCGCTGCAGGCGAAGGGCACACAGTCGGGGTGAACGTGCAGCTCACACACTGGGGGGCGGGCAAGGTTAGGGGCCTCTTGCCATACCCTTGCCCTCCTCACTGACCTCACAGCTTGGGCCGGCTCCAACCCCAACCCTTGTCACCCCGAATCAGCTTCTTTTAGACTGATTGCTTCTTGCCTGGTAAGCTTCTACTGTTGGAGCCCCAAAATTAGCCTGAACCTACTACCCAGGCAGTTAACAAACCACGTATAGAGGAGGGCTGAGCTACCCAGGACAGCAGAGACCAAGCCCCTTGAACAGTGAGCTCAGTTCCAAGGGGACCACAGGCCCAATAGTACCTTCACAGCGGAGCGCAGGTACCTCCAGGCTCTTGCGGCAGACCACACAGAACTTGCGCTTGTAGAGCCCAAGGGAGCCAAAGCAGTGGGCTACAGGGACCTATAGGGGCAGAGCAATCCTCAGATTTGGGCCTGCCTGGTCCTGCTGCCTTATCCCTGGTAGCCTTGAGAACTGGCCCAGCATCACCTGCTGGTAACTGCTTGAACAGAGGGGATCATCTCTCTTCCTTCTTCACCTTCACAGAGCTATAGCTCAGGTCCTGCTTGAGAGTACCTACCTCAATTCAGCTGTACTACCATGAGATCTGGACTGGGACTAGCCTGGCTGACTGTTGGACAGGTGAGCAGAGAAAGGGCTCAGTAACTTTACATCTGTAGTACTGTAAGCACTTGTAATGGAAGTCCACCTGACATCCGTTCCTCACTCCACAGGCCAGCAAGACTGCCAACTGCCAGATACCTGTCTTGTTAGATTCAGGAGCTTCCAACAACCCCCAGATCTGCCCTTTTGGAGGCAATTACAGTGAGTGTAAACATGTGATAGTAAATCGCCTTCCCATGAATGCAGATTGGAAGGGTCAGGTCTTAACTTGACTGGCCCTTAGCCCAAGACTTAAAGACTTAGCAGAACAGAAAAACTACACACTAGAAGGGTAGTATGTATGTCAGGTGGAAGATGATTTTTATTTTCTTTTTAAATAGCTATATCCTCTGAAAATATTTATAATCATACTAGTATTTATCTTAATTCTCGAGTAAAAATAAGAAAACATTGAGATCATTTTAAATAGCTATGGCCTCAACATATTCATGAGGGCACCACTCTGGCAAGCACAGCACCCTGAGACAAAAGCAGCCAGCATCTTTGGATTTTTGTGCTCACACCTAGTAATTAAGTATCCACCAAGTAGCAATGTTAAGGGAAAGCTGACAGTGTTATGGACAGTTGTCAGCTTCAACTTCTGCTTACTGCTGTTGCCTCAGGACACCCCTTATTTACTTGTGTCCTCTCTTCCACGGCTGGGAGGCAAGACCCACCTGCTAGTGCAGACAAGGGCAAGCTCAGAGCAGCAGAGCTGCCAGTGAAGTGGCCTTGTGCATACAGCTGATGGGAAGTGAGGACATCACACTTGCCTGCTTGAACGATGTCTAGCTATGCTGCTGTCACTACTACCATTACTCACAGAAAGGAAATCTCTGTGCCCTGTTGGGAGCCTTACTGCCCTCTCCAGGGCTCTGTAGAGGAAGGTCAATAGCCAGAACATACTCCAAGGCTCTGAGGCTTTTTACATAAGCCTTTTATGTTACACCCTCTAAGGGTTTATGTGCATTTGTGAAAAAAAAAATCCAGAGATGCCCTATTGTCTTTACCCATTTTCCAATGTTAACATCTTGCAAAACTGGTCATTGTCACAGCCAGAGCACCAAGAGTGCATGCAGTCTAAGCAAAGTACCCCGCCTCCTGGACCCTTCATTTGGTCCTTTTGCAGCTGCATCCACTTCCTTACCTTGAACCTCTGATCTGTGTTCCTCTGGCTTCCTCATTCAGAGTGTGCCATAGACAAGTATGTGCCCTTTGACACTGACTTTTCTCAGTATAGTTCCCTCGAGATCCACTCAGGGTGCTCAGCTCATCAATGGCTCCTTCCTTCTGACTGTGAGCAGGACTCTGCCCTTTGCTTCCTAACTATGATGTGGCTAAACTTACAATTCAAAGGACAGCTACAGGTCAGCACTTAACCCCATGAAAGCCATGTGCGCTGCCCCCACACTCACCCGTACTAGACTTGGAGCAATGCTTGCGCACGGGGTCTTCACCTGCTTCAGGCACTTCTCGTGGGACATGAAGTTGCACACTGCAGGGAGGAGAGCTGTGTGAGTCAGCCCACCTTGCTAAGCAGCCCCACGTATGCTCAGGAGGTGAGAGGTCCTAAGACACAGCCTTTGTCAGTATACCAGGACATAACAGGTCTAAGAGCCCATCAAAAAGAGGCCACTTGGCCAGAGCCAATGGGGGAAGGAAGTTCTTGAGCCGAACCAGTCAGTGTGGTACCCTAGCCCTGTGCCACTTAGTGACAGTGCCGTTATTCCTGTGAGCTCTGTCATTATGGAAGCAGGCAGTAATACCATCCTCAAGAGCACAAGGGCCAGATGCTACAGTGGGACCACGGTGGGAGAGGAGTGTGCCCTGCTGTCTTGGGAGTGGCTCATGCCCCTCACACTAAGTCAGAACTCCCATGTCTCTGAGGCCAATAAAAGAGCAGAGAGATGAACAGCTGTGGGAAGGGTTCAGGACTTAAAAAACACGCGGGGGGGGGGGGAGGTTGTTTCCAGGCCTCAGCACAGATAGAGCTTCAGCAGTGAAACAATCTTGGAGATATACAAGAGGGGATATAAGCCTGTTTAACATTATCAAAGCCAGGGCAGGACAAGAGAGTGAAGGGTCTGGCCTGGTCTCCACAGATGGGATACTATGGAGGAGGTTATAGGAACAAAAGGGTGTGACCACTAAGACAGCCTAAGGAGCCAGAACCTATCCAGAGGGCCCCAGATTATGCTTCCCTTCTGCTGAGACCCCAGATATCTCCATCCTAGGAGGGGACAAACACTGGAAGGAGACTAGGGCTTGTGAGAAAAGCAGACGAGGAAGTAGTGACCCAGCGGGAGTCTTCCCCAGGTACTCCATTTACTCCTCCTTGAAAGGTCTTGCCAGTTGCCTCCTTTGTAGGCCGAAGCAGTGCCTGCTGTGTGCAGAACACCTTACATGCTCCTCAGATGGAAGGGCTCTGCCCACACTGCTGTGAGGACATTTCCCCACAATGCTGCCTAGAAGGGGCTCTGCACCCTTGCCTGAGGACCAAACTCTAGGGCCGTTATACACCGGGATTTTGCTTGGGTTCCCTGACCCCATAGAGCTAGTCTCAGGGGTCATGTCTATAAGGGGTACCTGGAGTCCATCCTTAGACTTGAAGTCCTTTCATTATCTGTCCATTCTACAGAGACCCTAGGTCTAGCCTCTGACCTGCAGGTCTACTTCCACTAACCACGTTAGACTTAGACTGGAAGCTTCGCTTTCTGTGGCTTTCAGCCATAAAGTGAGTCAGAGAACAACCCTTCTACCTGAAACCCTACCTATGCTACCCTTGTAGGTCCTGGAGTATAGCTTCAAGCCTGCAGCTAAGTCAGTGTACGAATCACAGCCTTCATCTTAGAGGGACTCTTATGTTACAAACGGGCAAAGTAGGGCAGTATAATATGTCTGATCTGACAGAAAAAAACCAAGTGACCACTCCTATATACTGGTAGCCCTGAGGTGCCATGACAACTCGACATCCCCCACTAGCAGAAGACACATGTGTGAGGAGCTATGGCCTCAGTGATCCTGCCCAGAGCGCAAGCCTGTCTCCCTGAGCAGGACAGATGCTCCTTAACTGGTTCCACTTTCAGTCCCTGGTCAGGACACTGTCAAAGGCTCAGATGCCCCTCACAGTCTTGGGCTGTGGGTCTCAGGGCCTGCCTTCTCACAGGAGGAAGAACACGAAGAGGGCCAGCCACAGAATTACAGAGGTGCCATCCTCTGCCCTGCCCAGCCGGCTTGGCAGCTGGGTGGGAACTGTGTTTGGACATGCCACATCTGTAAAAAAAGGCTGGGCCTGGCTCTCCAAGCAGTTGAGCCCAAGCAAAGCAGCACTTAGTCCCTCTGTGCATCAGCCTGCACTTGGGACAAGAATGACCAGAACCTATGGTTCAGGCCAGCCCTGCTTGTCCACTCCTAGTGTACCAGTTGCTCAGGAAGCCAGACACGGAACACCAGAGGGACCCCCGTTGCTTAAGGTCTCAGTCCTGCCTTCATATCTCTATGCTCAGGCCCAGCAACTGACTCAACACACACCTTGCCACTTGCACACGTTGGATTCCAGCCACAGCATTGCACTATGGCGACTCTGTCTCCACCTTCCACTAGGAAATCCTGAGATCCCAGACCAAGAGGGGTCAGACCGGGGACACCCCTCTTTCCGACCCCTAAAAGCAGGTGTCACCTCCAAAGGGACGACCTATTCAAACAAGAGACTGTCTCTAAGGTCACTGCTAAGAGGGACAGGGCTCAAAGGTCAGGGCAGTGTCTCCGGGAGGAGGCTGGGAGCGGCCTCAGCACGCAGAATGGACTCTCACCATCGCACAGGAAGCCGGCTAGCCCCCAGATGAAGTCCGAGCAGAGATGGCAAAAGGTGGGCTTGGTGAGTGTCACCTTGCGGAAGCTGTGGCCGGGCGCTGCAGGGCCAATAGCTCTGCCGGTCCGCTCTGGCGCTGACCCCGGGCGTGCGCGGCCTGAGATGCCCAGTACAGGGCTGCCGGCAGGGCTGCCGAGACGTGGGGAACCGCTGCCCGGCCAAGTCCGGGCCCCAGACTCGGCTGCCGCCTCCATCTACAACCTGACCACCACAGCTCCAGCTGCGCGCTAAAGCCAGATCGGCGGTGTAGAGGGCCCTCGGCTGTGCCCGCTTCCAGCTTCCGACTGCGCTACCTAACGCGCAGGCTCGCATGGGAGGGGCCCGCACGGAGAGACTGGCTAGGGCCTCCAGAGAGGCGGTGCCACCCTGTTGAAGGCGGGACCTTTGCACTAGGAGGTGGGACGAGGTGGCCCACAAGCGCCAGAAGAGCAAAACAAGGAATGGGCCAGATTTCCCACACAGGATCTCAGGATCCTGGCTATAAGGCCTTTGCTTGTACAAACAGGAGAGAATCTATGGGAACATTCGTAGCTAGCTGGAAACTTAAGTGGGGCTTCCATAAGCTCCCTTACCCCATGGCAAGATTTTACGTCAGTGAGTTTCCAGGTCTTTGAGGACCTGCCTGCAAGGGAAGGGCATCCACAGTAACCACAGTTTTGTGCTGTCTGCATAATGCCTGTGAGTTTGGACTGTCAATCGCTCTGCCCCCATCGTTAGCGGTCCTCAAGGGCCTTGTTTCTGTAGGCCTGTCCTGGTTTGGAGTTGGGGAGACCCTACTGGCGTTCCAAGGAACTCCTGGCCTCTAGCCCGATTCCCAGTGACCACAGTGGGGACCTGCAGGATAAGTGCATTAGGAGAAGGAAAATGCGCTAAGAGTACTATCAGGACAGGTTAACAACGCCTGCATAGAGCCACTGGGGAAGAAAAGCCTGAAGATAAGCCAAAACAAGGAAGCCTGGCTTGAAGAGCTTTGCTTGCCCAAGAGAAAATATAATCCAAGAATGGCCAAATGGCGGAGGGAAGACCTCGGGGAAACTGAGAGAGCCTTGATCCTCCATTGCTTCAGGACTCACTCCCCACTCTGGGCAGGCCCAGGATACTGGGGATGCAGCGTGCTTTCCCGAAGCTGTGTCTGGGGCAGACAGACCACAGTTGATTAACAGGCCAGGAGCAGTCACTGGCCAATGGAGAAGCTAGGACCAGGTAAGTAGAGTTCAGGAAAAGTATACAGGCAGGGGACAACTAGTGCAGATGAGTGAGTGACTGAGCAATCAAGGAAAAGAAAGGGGTGGTGGTGGTGCATGCCTTTAATCCCAGCACTCGTTAGTTCGAGGCCAGCATGGTGTTGTTGACAGTCCTCTTGTTTTGCTGGTGAGTTCCATGAATCTTTTTTTTAATACTAGTGCAAATTGAATTGTGCAATAAGTTCTGGTGGCTCAGGTTCATAACCAGATTTTTACTTTTTGTTTGTTTGTTTTGGTGGTTTTTTTGTTTTTTGTTTTGAAACAGGGTTTCTCTGTATAGCTCTGGCTGTTCTGGAACTCACTCTGTAGACCAGGCTGAGCTCGAACTCAGAGATTCACATGCCTCTGCCTTCTGAGTGCTAGGATTAAAGGCGTGCACCACCACCACCCTGCTCAGATTTTTACTTTTATGAATAACATCTCATGAACATTCCATTCTTGTACCTGCATGGCCCATGCCCAGATACTCATACGGCTGGAGTTACACAAGAGGTAGCAGGGCACATTTCAGTCACTTTAGAAAATAATACTAACCTGCCAGGCATGGCGGCGCACACCTTTAATCCCAACACTCAAGGGGCAGAGGTGTGGGCTGGGGGTGGGGGCGGGATCTCTGTGAGTTCAAGGTCAGCCTGGTCTAAGGAGTGGAGCTACACAAGGGGAGACACTGTCTCAAAAGATACTAAACTGGTTCTACCAGTTGTGTGGAAGACTCCCTAGGCTGCAAACTCTGCTGACAATGGACTCTCAAATTTATATTCCATGGCCTCTGGTCATATTTCAGGGGTATCTCTGATGTCAGAGGACCTTTGCCCATCTTATTTGCTTGCCATTTCTGGCTATGCTATGAAGCCTTCACACATCTTACTGTCTTCTACTGGGCCTTTTGTTCTCACTGGCAGGGATCTCAGGAACTCAGGTACTTGTTATCTGCATTAGTTTTGGACTACTGCAGACCCTGAAAGGGGATAGAAAGGTTCTGCTAGCTGGGGCACTTGATTGACACATGACCTTTCATCCTACATGCCTCTGCTTACAGATACCTTGTTTAATAAGTAACATATAGCGATTCCTGACTTCTGTGGACTGGAAGTGCTATCACTTGAGAGAAGCTACTCTAATATATCTTTCTCTGTAAGAATACCACAACCTAGGGAGCAGGAGTCAGCACTGAACTCTGTGACCTACAGAAGCAGGAAAGTGTGGTGATGCAGATGAACAGTGACAAGCAGTGGGAATCTGCATGTCAGGAGCTCAGACTAGTATGTCCCCAATGACATAAAAGCACAATAATATTGATTTGGATAACACAAACACATTTGCAGATTCAGGATCTGTGGACATGGTCCTTCAGGCCACACCTCTCTTATAGCAGGGCAGTTTTTCATAGTCTTGAGGGCAAGAAGCCCTTCACTGTCACCAGTATGGGTGGCTCATGATGTTTCTGGCTCCATCCATGTCTGAGTGATCACACTTCCCTTTCTGCTGAGAACCCATGGGTCATCCTGCAGGTCACTTCATGCTCCTGTTTGTAGGAGAATGTGGTTAACCACACACAAACAGAATGGTGGGAGCACCAGGCATTCAGTGACCTAATAACTGTTAAACGACAGTTCCCACAAAAAAGTTGGCTAGGCCAGTACCATAGACCTCATCCACTTCATCCACTTGAGCAGCCTAAAGTGAAAAAAAATTGTTACTACAAAATGTTGTATATATTTACTCAGAATTAGATACTGTGATTTGAATGAAAATGGCCCCATAGATGCATAGGGAGTGGCACTATTTAGAGGCGTGGCCCTGTTGGAGTAAGTGTGACTGTGTTGGAGGAAGTGTGTCATTAGGGGGTGGGCTTTGAGATTTCAGAAGCTCAAGAGAGGCCCAGTAACTCACTTGCTCTCCCTGCTGCCTGCAGACTCAGATGTAGAACTCTTAGCTACCTCTCCAGCACCATGTCTGCCTGTGTGCTGCCTTGCTTTCCACCATGACAAGAATGGACTAAACCTCTGAACTGTAAGCCAGACCCAATAGAATGTTTTCTTTTGTAAGAGTTGCCATGGAGAATCTCTGAGTTCATGGTCAGCCAGATCTACAGAATGAGTTCCAGAATAGCCAGGGATAGAGAGAAAACACACACACACACACACACACACACACACACACACACACACACACACACACCTGTCTCACCCCCCCCCAGAAAAAAGAAGTTGCCATAGTATCTCATCAAATCTATAAAACCCTAAGTCAGAGACAAAAATCACAAAAAAATGGCATTTAAAAAAGAGACCAAAAGCGCAAACATCACAAAAGCTAGAAATAGGATTTTTATTCTTTACTGGTTAGTAAATTGATAGTTTTTAAAAATTTAATTTTACGTGTATGACTGTTTTATCTGCATGTATGTCTGGGCATCATGTGTGTGCCTGGTGGCCATAGATGCCAGAAGATTTCCCTGAAACTAGAGTTATAGATGGTTATGAGCTGCTTTGAGAGAACTGGGAAATGAAACCCAGTCTTTTGTAAGAGTAGCACATTTTCTTAACCACTGAGCCATCTCTCCAGTCCCCATGTTGCTATTTTTAAATTATCTCTTCTAACAATTCTGAAATCTCATTTTCCAAGGAGAAGATAACTTAGCCCCTCTATGGCTGAGTGATCCCTAAAAGTCAATTCAATAGAACTTGGGCTGCTGTCACCTCATTAGTGATAGGACTGATGGGGCTGGAGAGATGGCCTGGGTCATTTGTTATTCTTGCAGAGGTCCCTGGTTCTATTCCTGGCACTTACATGGCAGCTCACAAACATCCAATAACTCCAGTTCCAGGAAAAGCAGTGTCTTCTGACCTCCTCAGGCAGCAGGCACAGACATATAGTGTAAACCCTCATACAGATAAAATAAATATTTTTGCTTTTAAGACAGGTTCTCTCTACATATTCCTGTAGACCAGGTGACCCTGGACTCACAGAGTTCCACCAGCTTCTGCCTCCCAAGGGTTGGTATTAAAGGCATGATCCACCGCGTCTGGCAAAATAAATCTTTTTTTAAAAAAGGATTTTTTATGGTTTATTTAACTTTATTTTATTTGCATTGGTGTCAGATCCCCTGGAACTAGATCTTCAGACAGTTGTGATGTGGGTGCTGGAAATTGAACCTGGGTCCTCTGGAAGAGCAGTCTGTGTTCTTAACCACTGAGCCATCTCCCCAGCCCCCAAAATAAATCCTTTATTAAAAAAAGAAAAACAGAAGAAATAAAGGCTGCTCCTAAGGAGCTGGAGAGTTGATTCAGTAGTTAAGAGCACTGGTGGTTCTTTCAGAGGATCTGGGTTCAATTCTCAACACCCACATGGTGGCTTATAACCAACTGTAACTCCAGCTCCAGAGAATCAAACACCCTCTTCTGGTCTCTGAAGGCACTAGGCACATGCACAATGCACATACATACATGCAAGCAAAACACTCATACACATGAAACAAGCAAGTAGAAGGGCTGCTGTTGAAGTTGAGATAACACTGTCCAATGTTGACACAAAAACCAGAATTGTCTTCTTAAAAGGAACAAGAGTTTATACTGGAGCCATTTTGAGTGACCTTGGCCCAGAGACACAGATTTAAGTTACCCCAAATTCCATATTCTTACATGGAAACAATTTCGTGAAGTTATATAATTTTATGGAACAAGGAAGCCATAAATAAAGGAAATTTGAAATATATTGATGGGTACATCAGACAGGAGGTTCAAAACACGGGGGCAGTTTTCTATAGGCTTTAGATGTTATACAATGACATTCTTAGCGTGTGGGTTTGTGGAAACTAGTGGTCTGATAAATTAATAGATTAAAAAAGCTTTCATCTATCAGTCACAGGATGGCTATCCATGGGGTTAAAGATAGCCCAGGATAAGTTAATTAGCCTCTGCACCTGCAACATTCCAACTCTTCACCTCACTACAGGTTTAATCAGTCCATCAGCCTTGGTAGACAGAGAGTCTTTCCAGAAATTCTTGTTCACACTAGTTTTTCATTTATAAGCTGGAATGTTTGGAAATTGGCTGCTTCTGAGGTAACCAATGTGAAAGCCCTCTGATGCACACTGTGGGAGCACATCTGTTACCCTGAGTGCTTTGTCTATTGGCGTTTTTTGTGGCACCAGTAAGACCCTGAACCAAGCAGCCATAGCTTGCTGGAAGCTGTTTTCTACTCCAGAATGCCCAGCTGTCACTCTGTTAAGAAAAGAAGTGACTAAAAGAATGTAATCTCTGCTAAGATTCAACTGATACCTCTAAAACTTAATTTCCTTTTGGTCAAGTCCCAAAGTACTTACTTCCCCAGCCGCAGACCAACCAGAGAGAAGTTGGAGATGAAACGGACCATGGATCATGCTTAGTTATGTTACACGATGTGTTAATATGCAAACAGGGCCTTTTGGGACATTGAAAGGGACTACCTTAGCTTCTTAGTGAGTGATGCCCTTGTGGACTGCGGTTTTTCTAGGGATCCTCTGTCCTCTTTGCTAGTCCTTTTGCAGACTTTATCTAGGATGATGACCCTCAACAGCTCAGAGTGCTAAGGAGCTCCCTCCCCTGCCACCCCAACTTCTGGCCATTGGCCCAGCACCCACTTTCAAATCCAGGCAGGTTCTAGTCAGGTGACCTGCACCCAATCAGGCAGCTTTTTGGAAAGATGCACAACCTACACTTCCTTTGGGAAGAGGTCTGATATGCCAAGCAGGCTCTGGAGATACCAGTTTTGATTGGAACAGAAGCAGGGGAATGTGGACCAAGCCTTTATTGGGGTTCCCAAGAAATAAGTGTGTGAGGTATGAGCTATTGGATAATCTAGGATAATCTCATATTGCACAACCTAGTGGGGCACTATGGCAGGCTCTGTGTCCACCTTCTTAGGTTTCTAGAGCAAGGATACCCACTTAGTGTGAGTCTGGACACTCAAGTGTTTAGTCTTCATACCAAAGGTACTCCATTTGCTCTCTGGAATTAGCCAACCTGGGGTATTGGAAGGGTATATCTAGGATCAGAGCCCCAAATGTCACATCTAGAACACAGAAAGAGAATATAGTTAATACTAGCAAGATACACAAAAAGTGAGGTTAGTCATCTAAACGAATAAGCTAAACTTTCAAGGAAAAAAATATCTCAAGATTTTATATAACAGAAAATGATCAGGGAAGGTGATGATATAGGATAGAGCCCACTGGAAAGGACCAGCGAGGCAGACAGGCTCCTTACCTCTTCTTTCTATGCTCAGCTAGTGGCAAGGCTAAAACCCCCAGACTGGTGACAAAAAGTAAGTTGAGCTGAGTAGGAAGAAAGATAAGAATCATAAACGTCCTGGGGAGAAATTATAAGCCTAAATTTGGCTTTTTTAAAAAGCTGAAACAAAGATAAGGTGTGCTCCAGTGGGTTATTGTGGCCTGGTGCTGTAGTTCTCGCCCTCAGGACTCCGTATCCAATCTCACATATTAAGAATGGCAGAGTGAACCCCACCCACGGCTGGTGCATATTCTTCTTCCAGACACTGGTCCATTCTCCTGTTGGTGTCATTTTAACAATGCCTCATCCTTGGGTGGACATCCAGCTCTCTGCACCTCCCTTTGAATCCCATTTGTGATCACACCTTCTCAGGAAAAAGTCTTTTTCGCCTCCTTTCCAGGAGCAGGTGCAGCATTTTCTATAAGCCATACTCCGTCAGACACTGAATCCTGTGCCTGTAATTGTCTTTGGGCTCTGCCAGGAACATATTCCTTGTTTACAAATTGTTTTCCCATGGGAATTTTCGTTGGGGCCCTTGAGGCTCTCCACTGTGACTGCTTTGGACACCTCTCCTCTCATCTGCAAGCTGAGTCAAGCTCCTCTTGGTTTTCACAGTTGTCCCCTCACCCTTGTGAAAGAACCACTAGAATGGCACAGGCCCAGCCGCTTGCAAGGCTTTCCTACAGAGAGACCCTTACAGACCTTGAACCTGTCCCTCTTCTGCTGCCACGGACAGGCTTCTCTAAGACAAGGCGGAGCCAAGCCGTACCCTCTGGTATGTTTATCTTCAGAAGTAGATAGTTCTCCATGTCCAATTCCCTGCCAAATGCTAGGGTTCTGCCTCAGATCTCAGACTACCTGATGGGACCCTTAGTATTCATGGCAATGGAAGCTGATGAATTGCTGGCAGCCCTCTGAACAAACTCTGGGGTATTCAGAGAGGAACTGATGATATTCATCTTCTAGTCAGGATGGACCTACGCCTAGCCACTCTCTAGGTAGCCTATTAGCACACAATACCCTCAAATGACACGTGGCCCCACCCTCACATGTAATCTGCCCGTTAGTACTCAAATACAAATCAAAAGTGCATACATGTCATTAGGTCACAATACCAGGCTTTGCTGAAATATCTTACCTGTTCTTTCAGGATGTCACTCCTATGTCTGCTGAGTCCCCACGCCTGGCCTAAGAGCCTTGGTTTAGTTTTCAGGCAATCTTATGAGGCCACCTTAGCCCCCTCTCTGTGTCACATCTGCTGTCTCCCTGTGTAAACACCACCGTCGCATCTGGGATCCACTGGATAATCTAGGATAATCTCACATCTCAAGATCCTAATGCAATTATGCCTGCAAATACCCTTCACTGAAAGAAACACCCTTCACTGCATGCAATAAAGACTGCATGTTCTGGAACTATGACAGTGGAGTTCTAACACTGACACCTACCTCTAGTGTCTGTGCTGCGTTTACCACAGTGTAATTCTCCAGACCCATTTATCTTCATGCCCCCATAAGACACTCCTACGACTTTCACAATTTATTAAATTTACACAGTTTTTATACCCCTACTTTTCATTCTTTCTGATTCCTCTGCATTTGACAAGAGATCATTATTTTTCTGCTTGAAGAATAGCATGCAATATTTCCCTAATAAAAAATAGGCAGCAACAATTGTTCCCACAATTTCTCTAAAATGTTTTGATTCAATCTTTGCTTTTAAAAGTATCTATCTGCATGTCTATGTATGACTTATAGATATGTTTCTCACTATGTTGCTCAGGCTGGCTTCAAACTCTTAGGCTAAAGCAATGCTGTGTCCTTTGCTTTACAGAAGCTTTTCAGCAGATCATCTTCTAGGACAGCCAGGGCTATACAGAGAAACTTTGTCTCAAAAAACTACTGCTATTACTACTACTACTACTACTACTACTACTACTACTACTACTACTATTACTATTATGGTCAGGCATGGTAGCACATGCCTTTAATCTCAACACTCAGGATGCAGAGGCAAACAGATGCCTGTGAATTCTAGGACAGACTGATCTACATGGCAAGTTCCAAGCCAGTCAGAGCTATATATGGAGACCCTGTCTCAACAATATTTTTTTCAAATGTACAGAAAAGTTAGGATAGTAGTACGTATTTTTACACTGTATTACCACCAATTATTAACATTTTACCAAATTTGCTTTACCTCACATATTATGTGCAATCATATTGTTACTCTTTGAATTTCAGAGTCATTTTGACAAAAAACCCTTTGATTTCAGACATGTCAATTAAAATATGAAAGGAACAAGCGCGTCTTCATTCCCACTGTGATACAGTCCAGTCATTCATCCACTTTGGAACTGTCATTGATAGAATTTTATTGAGCAATATATAGTACCATTTTCAGCTTAAGAATTTTCCCGTCTGCTCTGTGTGATTGATCATCTTTTTCTGACCCAGGATCCGTTCCAGCACCAATTAATCACACACTGATGATTCATTAGCTTGAGCTTCCTGGAGTGGAGGGAGTGTGTTCTCTTCTATCAGATGGTGTATACCTGCCTTCCCTCACTCAGGGCATGAAGAGATTTGAACTTCAGTTCCTGTGAGGGTAGTTCAGTTTCTGTCTCACCCTCACTTTCAGGGTATAGCTGTTGATTACTGAACCTGATCCTCAGCTTCTGTCCCACAATCCTTCACAGCTTCTTGGCCGCTGCTTCCATCGCTGAAAATCTCCAGCTGTACATGCTGGTCTTACCATCAGAGAAACCATTTCCCAAGCTGTGACCCCAAGGATCCTGCCATTACTGGTTCTTCTAAGGAAGCTTAATCTGAAGCAGTTTTGCTCTCACTACTGTCTCTCTCTTCAGTTTCAGCCTGGACTCTTTCCTGTTACTTCAGCTTTTAGGTTACTGAAAGTGATCCACTCACCATTTTGGCAGTTTTCTCTGAAGTATTTTCTATCTCTGCATCATTTCTAGAATATTTCTGTGCACTTGTGCAATTCTTTTATCCTTAGCCCCCACACCTTTTTTTTTTTTTTGAGCGTCTGTAGCTCAGGCTATCCCAGTCATTTCTGTTGGGTGTTGTGAGTGACCAACATTGATGCTTTGCTATCTGCTACTTCTATTCACTACTTGATATTCACTATCTTACTTTTGCTTGCTATGTACTTAATAAACTCACTAATTCAGAGCAAAAGTACACTGTTCTTCATACAGAACAGAATGCCCTACCAGGTAGCATCCAGATGTTGTCTATGACTGAGGTCTATATTCCAGTCACTGAAGAAATGCCACATGGGCTCTTGACTTTCTGATCCTTGAATAAGGGTTATGACATAATAGCTTTCATTTATCCACCCAGAAACCTTCCATTTACCAGCTGTCCTGAGGACCGAAGACGTAAAATCACCAACCTAAGGAACTACCAATACTAGTTGTTTGGCTTTAGGAACGGTCTCCTACTGTTGGTGTCAGGGAAGGACTGCATGAGAAAGGTTTTGTGTGTGTGTGTGTGTGTTTACGAGATCATGAAATGTGATTGCTTTCATTGTTGAGGGAACCACAGAAGATAAAGGCATGTGCTACGAAGAGTGTCAGGAGCAGGGGTCCTTAGATCCTAGCTGACTCTGTTCCACCATTGCTAATATCCCACTTAGCTTGTGTGCACAGTTCAAATCTAAACGGCTATTGACCTCGCCTTTCCCAGACATCTAGGATTGACCTTTGACTGTCCACTAGAAGTGACCACTTGGCTCCTGAAGCTTGTTTTTCTTACAGCAGCCCCATTTCAGTAAAAAGCATGGATCCACTCTACCAAAGCTCTGTAATACCCTCTTCAAATTCAATCTTTGGAAAAGTCCCGCAGCGCCATCTTCTGGTACAGTTTTTCACCTTCACTCCTCACGAGACTGAGTAGTGTCTGATGTGCTTTTCAGACTTCTTGTAGGCCTCCCGAGAGACCTTTCCGGGCATCGCCAAGAATAATGGCCTCACCGAGACACCAAGGCCAGTGTTCTCCCAAGCACTGCCAGCGGTCGTTCGGAGATGGAGCGTCTGAGACGCAGCAACCTGGGCGGAACTCGCCAGGGGAAGAGGCGGCGCGTGTGGCGTTCTGTCCTGCCCTTGCCTGGGGAGCGATCACGTGGGTTCTACCCGGAGGCGGAACCGCTGCTACCGGGACCTAAAGCCTTGCAGTTCACGGGCGCCTGGATACCTTAGCCATGCGCCCCCGGCGCCCTGCCTCCGCTAAGCTGGCGTTTCTAGCTGTGTTCTTGGTCGCGCCCTTGACTCTGGCTGAGACCCCATACCTGGTGCGTGTGGATGCAGCTCGCCCGCTGAGGCCTTTGCTGCCCTTTTGGAGGAGCACCGGCTTCTGGTGAGGCCCACCGCACGCTCTTGCCAAGTCCAGGAAAGCCCTTGCTCCGTTCTTTGGGTTCCTTTCATCACACCTTTGGGCTCGCTGCCCATCATTCCTGGACACTCAGGAGTGAAGATCAAATTCCTTCAGGGTGTGGCATGGGTTTTCTACTTTAGTGGCTCTCCCAAGTGCCACAGCCTCCCTAAATGCCCCCAACCCCAACCCCCGGGATCAAGAGCACGGTACTCAGGCTATAGGCTCATGATTGCACTTCGGCAGAACCAAGGGCTCTCCCAAAGTACCAAGACCTGACCTCGAGTATTGGGCCAGACCTGGTTTCTCAGTGCCTCCAAGTCTCTCTAGGAATTTGCAGATCCTCTTCTATGGCAGGCAGATGTCCTATTAGAATGTGGTACTGTGTCCTGTTGAAGCTTCCCGACCCCCCTCCCTCCCCCAAGACAAGACTGTAAAACATTTCTGGTGAAAGGGCTACTTTATCATACAACGTGGAGACATACACTGCTCCTCTGCAAGCACCTGTCAGTCAGGTATTAAATGTGTAGTACCTGGTCGGCTGTAAGCCCCTGCTTAGGACAAACACTTCACTTCTTTGTCCTGTCCCCAGCCCCCCACTGCCTCATGACCAGGCTGACCGGTTCGACCTTAGTTGGGACCAGCAACTGAACCTTGCCTACATTGGTGCTGTTCCGCACAGTGGCATCGAGCAGGTCCGGATACACTGGCTGCTGGATCTCATCACAGCCAGGTGGGTGATGCTGAGGGGCGTGCCCTGGGAGCTGCTGGTCAGAGCTTGTCTTACAGGGATGCTGAGGTGGTGGGTCTGGCCTTGTCCGGGACAGTTGTGGAGCACAGTGCTGGACTGTGGGTTGGGGAGCATCATAGTAGGGCACGGATGGGGCTGGGACTGTACTTCCTGTTAGAGCATCCTGTTGGGCAGAAGAGGAGGGGAAGGTCTCTTTGGCTATGCCTGTGCCAAAGTCTCTGTGCCTGACTTTGTACCATACATGGCCATGTTGTATAAGCTGGATAAGTATAAGCTGGATAGAGACATCGTGCCTGAAGGTCAGTCACATCACCTTAGACAGTGACACTGGACCATCTGCTCTGGAGCAGGTGACTGCCTTTGCAAGGGCCCAGTTAAGATGAGCCTAGGCATGAGAAGACCTTTCCGGAATTCAGACTCTTGACCCTTGGCCATGTGTTCAGCTCATATCTGATACCTGTGGTGCAGGGGAAGGGAATGTGTCCTTTTGGCATCTTAGAGACCGCATAATTTGCAGGACTCTGTTTCAGATAAGATGGTAACACAGACTATTATTATTAAACTGGGCACTGCTTTGGCTGAGGGATCATGTGTGTGGGTGTGGCCACTAGGGGGCAGCAGTGGTCTCAGATGTAGAGTGTCTCTATCACTGAATGTTCGGAATTCTTGAATGTGTTAAGGACACGGCGCTTTCCTTTCTTAGTTGGAGTTCCCTGACTTTTCCAGGGCAGAGGTGGTCCAAGGGTATCTCTCTCTAATGTTTCCAGTCTTCATATCATTCCTACAAAGGAGGTCAGTACTGGCTTGTGGACATGGATCTTGGTCCTGCTAAAAGGCAGAGTCAGCAGCCGCCAGCTCCTCACGGCGGGCTCGTGCAGCCTCCACAGCACTGTGTATACTGGGGAACAGGAGCTCATCCTCAGCTCCCTGGTCTTCCCCAAGGAAGCCCCCTTTCCTCAACGTGTCCCTCACTGAGGGACTGCAGCAAGCCAGAAGCAGGGTGATGTCCAGGGCCCTGTAGTCTCTGTGCAGGTCCTTCAGTGTGGCCATGCCAGCCACATCCAGGAACAGCAGTGGTGCACAGTCAATGACCACTGTGTGGAAACCGAATGCCAGGGGTACCACCAGCCCGGTCCCACTGCTCACTGAACCCATATCCTTGCCATCAGCAAGACTGCTGTCACTGACACCCACCTCTGGGCCCTTTTTCTTCCTGGTGGCTGAGTGCCCTGCATCCAGCCCTGTGAGATTGTAGAGTGACTGCAAGAAGAAATCCTTGTTGGCATAGTAGAGTGGGCCTGTGAAACGGAACACTCGCACCTCAGGTGGGGGCAGGAGGCCCTCAAACTCGGCAGCATCCTCATAGAAGGCTGAGTCTCCAATTCGAGCAAGAAGGGCAGCCCGTGGACGCTGTGTGCGGCCTGCCAGGCTGAGCAGTGAGAAGAACACCCCAGCTAGAAGTCCGGCCTCGGTGCTGACGAGCACACAGGTGGCTGCAGTAGCCACCCAGACCAGTGCATCAGCGGGGCTTAGCCGCCAAAGCTGTGGGAGGTCCTTAACCTTGCGCAGCGCCCCACGCAGGCTGACAACAATGATACAAGCTAGCACACACCGCTGCAAATCGTGAAACAGTGGAGCCAGCACCAGCAGCACCAGCAGCACCACAGCAGCACTGACCACACTGGACAACTGGGTCTGGCAGCCAGTGGCTGTCTTCACCAGGGTTTTGGACAGAGCAGCACTGGTGGCAAAACAGTGGAAGAAGGCAGGCAGCACGTTGCAGCAGCCCACGGCTAGAAGCTCTTGGTTGGCATGAACAGTGTAGCCATGACTTCGAGCAAACATCTCTGCCAATGAGATGGAGAAGGCTGAGCCCACAAGGGCTAGGGACACAGCGTCCAGGGCCACATGCCACATTATCTTAGGGTCTGGTATCTGTGGGGCTACAAAACCAGTGGGAATGTTGCCGGCCACACTTGAGCCAAACCTTGAATGGAGCTGTCCAAAGTGGGATACAAGTGTGGCCACCACAATGACTAGCAGCTCTGTGGGTACTGGCACCTTCAAACGGTGTCGGTAGCGGTCTGAGAGCTCCTTAGCCACTATCAGCACTCCTAGGCACACGGCACTGGTGACCATGTCACATATATTGGCCTGTCCCACACTCTGCAGCAAGCTCAGCCATGTGCGGATCACCATGCCTGGCCCCTGGTGCCGAGGGATCCGCACACCCAGCAGATGTTTAGCCTGAGAAGTCAAGATGGTCACAGAGGCTCCCATAGCAAAACCGTCGAGCAATGGTTGTGAGAGGTAGGTAGACACAAAGCCCAGCCGGAGGATACCCATGAGGACCTGTAGATGGAGTACAGTCAGTTTGGTAGGTCATGAGGCAGGAGCCAGCATCAGTATAACACAAGGGTAGGGATTATAGCACAGAGCCTGATGTCTTCCCTTGCTTACTCTCCTGAGTAGACTCCTGCTGTTTTCACATGCATAATGGGCCAGAAGATACGGGGACATAACACATACATGTTGCAGCTGACGGTGGATGTTCACTTCTCACACTCTCACACATGCAGAAACTGGTTTTGTTTCAGAATCAGGGCTGTAGGCATAAGGAGGCAGACCCTTCCCCTGTGCCTTGTATGCAACACACAGCTCCTTCTACCCAGCTCCCTCCTGGGCAGCCATGGAACAGACAAGAGGAATAGAGAAGACAGGGTCAGAAGAAAAGAGCTGGATGTGGGGAGCCAGGGGAGTGCGTCTCAATTCTTAGGTCCTGCCTGTGCCAAGGTGGACATTGGGGTTGTAGTCTAGCTTTTCTGAGCCATGGCCACATGGCTGAGACTACAGCTGGCCAGTCCAGCCCTACATATCTCTCCATTCTGTGACTTAAGTCCCTCGGGTGCCTAGTCCTGGGCTCCACCTCTCCCCTTGCTGGGCTGTTTTCTCTCTGAGCCTGAAGGATTCTTCTGTTTCTAGATTTTTCCTGATGGTAGTGACAAGCACCTGTAGGTGCTCTAAGAAACCAAGTCAGCCAGCCTGCTTGCTATGCAGCTAACTCCTTACCTGATAAAGTCCAGTCACCAGAGTGAGGGCAGTGGCGATTCTAATGGCATGGCAGTCCCGTCCACAGTCCTGTAGCCCAAGCACCAGTGTTGTGGTTGAGTTGTTGAGTGTGCTGCCATTGTTCCTAGGCCCCAGAGAATCCTGGGAGGGGTCAAAACCAGCCAACTGCAGTTCTCGGTCTACCACCTGACCCACCATGAGGCACAATAGGCTGAAGATGCCCACATTAACATGGCGTGAGGTGCCCATGAGGAAGTAGATAAGGTTGGCAAAGAAGGAGGTATAGAGGCTATAGATGGGCTGCAGCCCAGCCAGCAGTGAGTACGCTATGGCTTGTGGCACCAGAATAATGCCAATGACCAACCCAGACATAACATCACCTGCCAGGTACTCTTTAGGGCGGTACTGACGCAGCCAGTGCAGGACAGGAAACAGATTCTGCACCAGAGCCTGAGCACATGGTATACTGCAGGTGCAGCTCTGCTTCAACCTGGCCTTCAGTGTTTCCAGCAAACCCTGGGACACAGGAGGCTGTCGTCGGATCAGCACCAGTGTCCCACCCTTCTCTTGGGGCTCGGGAGAAGCATCCATCCTGTCCTACCACGCTCTTTGGCCAACCTGTGAGGGAGAATGGGTGTGGTTAGGAGTCTAAGCTCTTGGAGTCCAGGAGCCAGCTTCACAGAGAGTATTTGTCCACCCAAACATAGACATCAGACATCAGAGGTTGTGCTTCCGTCAAGTACTTGTTCTTCTGTGTGGATGGGTGTAAGGCCTTGAGCTCCGAAAGTTAGTTTTATGACAAGAGTGTTCACGACGGTAATGTGCTTCAGGGAGTCAGTCGTTCTACCCAGCCTCATCCCCAGCTGTGCCCTGTGGTCTACCTAATTCAGCCTCTATATGAAGTCCACCTAGAGCGTTCTGAAGGTCACCCACCGAGACGAGGGCTGGACTAGGCCCACATACACCCACGCCAGTGACAATGGAGGCAGATGCGTGCTTGATTGAGCTTGAGGTCCAAGCCACTTCCTTTCCATCTGATCTGGCAAGGGGCTCTGCCAGTCACCCCACTTCCACAGGAGTTCTCCCAAGCCATCCCCTGTTCTCCTGTGAACACCATGGGCCTGGAGGTTGGCAAAAAGCCTTGTATATTTTGTGTGCTAGGGCCCCTGGTCTATGACACCCTTTCCCGTGAATTTAGAGGGTGTCTCACCAGTCACCAGTGTATTCTGGAACCAGTGTGCCCCTAACAGAGTGCTGAGCCTCTGAGAAGAGGTTCAAGTATACTAAACAAGCACACTGCTCCACAGATGTCCACCTTTGGCCTAGCTGTCCTAGCCCCTTCTGACCTTGCCTTAGTACTGAAGAGTTCTCGGGCCATACTGACCACATGTTGGCCTTGGGTCATGTTTACTGGTTCCAAAGTACTTGTTTGTAATATTAATCAAACACTCCCTGTTCTCTTGAAACTCAGGACACGGTGGTGACTGTTGGAGCCCATTGTGCCTGACCTGAGTACTGGGGCAGCAGCTTCGTTGCTAGGATGGTGGTCTATCAGGCATCCTAGCTCTGGAGGAATTATGAAAACAATGGTACACAAGAACCACTGAGCACTCTGAAGCTCACCCCAAGTCTTTAGGGGCTCATGTTTGTGGAGGAAGGATTGTAAGTATCACCTTCCTTGTATCTGAGCAATCCCCAGAGAAATGGCAGTCTAGGTTCCTGTCTCTGCCCAGTAAACCACATCTTCCGGGGCCTGTTGTATGGGCACAACAGTTCTTACCTGGGACACTTGGCCGGCTCTGTAGGCTTCGCAATATCCAGGGGCTGCAGTGGGCTGAACCTCCAATCACTCTGGCTTCTGTTAACAGGCAGAGAACAACGTTGGCAGGCACCTCTGAGACTGACCTGTGGGAATACTCTGCTGGGCTTGCTGTTAAATTATTTACCCCCCAAATAGCTGAGTCATGGGTTTCCCCCGTCAAATGAGTATTACCTGAGCGTCTAATCCGGTGAGCTAATTCGGCAAGTTGTACTATAATCAGAGGCTCACAAATAATTATGGTTATGTGGGCTTCTGATAATCTCCCCTTTGCAGAGGGGTGGGTGCTCCAGGTGCAACAGCTTCTGTCTTGTTAAGAGGGGAGGAGGTGGGGACAGGAGTGGTGAGGCAGAATGTTTGAGTGTGAGGCCCCAGAGGAGCTCAGTGAAACGCTTCAGCTATGAGGTTATGGGGTCATGTACAGCTGACTCCACCTACCCAGATGCTGGTTATCTTCTCTCCACCTTCATGGAGCGTGTTCTAGCTGGGACAAGCTGAAGCTCAGAATCTGTTCCATGTCCCTGTGTGCAGCTACTGCTCTGTGTGTACATACTTGTGTGAATGAACACATGCCTGTGTTGTGCACAGCCCAAGGATTGCCAGCATCAAGTTAGGTGTGTTCTTCCCTTTGAAACAGGGATCCTGGATTGGCTTCAGTTCTTGCTCCCCTTTTTTTCCTCTCCTTCCTGGTACTGACCACCTGTGATCATTGTGAGGTACTTGGCCCCCATGTACTTCTGTAGGACATGGGATTTGCCTTGTAAGGATAGCCTAGAGATAAATGGCCCCTTAACATAAGCATAATTAATCAGTGCCCTCAGACTTGAGGTATGCCTCCAAGTTCTTTCTGTAAGACTGGTCAGAACCTCAGATCCACATCTTGTAGTGAGCAATGAGTCTCTCACATGTGCTTGAGAGTAAGTAGTTTTGTGTAACAGGCCTTGATCTCTTCTGTAAGCTGCTGTATTCTGGGTACCCTCTCATCCTGGAGATAGCACCCTTCATTATGGTTGGAAGGCCCAGCTAGGCTGACCTACATTCTTCACAAGCCCAAGCACAGTGGGCAGTTTGCTTTGGGACTGGGTGAAATGAAGCTATATACTTTTCTCCTCTTATCCCCAAGGGTCTTGAGAAGGGGCTTGGGATCAACAGTTGTCTTGCAGAACCGGCTGGGACCCTGAGACTCTATTTCTTCAGGTCAGGAGATAATAAGAATTCAGAATACCATCCAGTCCACAGATTGGACACTTCTTTGGGACATCTGTAAGCCTTGTCCAATTTCTGGCAGCCACGGGCCTGGCCAATACCCTCCTTGTGGGTAAAATGAAAATGGGATGTGGGTGGAATGGGCAGAGTGGGAAGCCTGACTGTGAGACTAGGCAGGGCTGGCTGTTCTTTGGGTTAAGTATTCCTCCACCTTTGCTCTCCCGCTCCCCACCTGGATTCCATCCTGTCTCTCCAAGTAGGTCTGCTGTTCCTAGAAGGGTCCTAACTTGTTATACCCGACCTTTGTAGGACTAGACCTCCTTTTTTCCTTACAAGCCCCGAGCCACTGTTTGCACAGCAGTTGGGAACTGTGGTTTACAGGAGCAGTTAGCGATCCAGTGGGTGTGGTGGGGCTAGTCAGAGCAGCTCCTCTTTTGTCAGATAAATGCTCCTCTAGTGGTGGTGGGGATAGCTACTGAGGGTGCCATAAAGTGATAACCTCCCCAGTTACCCACAGAGGAGCCTCTGGGGAATGTGCTGTTGCTACATCTTTCGGAAGGGCAGAGCTGAAGTTGTGGAATGGATACACCTGTAAACACAGAGGTTCTGGGGTGGAGGAGAGTGTGAGAATATTCACCTTCCCTTCGAAGCAAAGAAAGCGGTATAGGAATGGTCCCTCTCTTCTCCACCCTCCTGGGTGGGAGGGATTGGGCCTTACATCATACACCCCCATCCTCCACCTCCACCCTGCCCCGGTAGTGTCCACAGCCAATTGAAATGTAGATGAAGTCATGTCTTCCATGACTTGCCATGAGTTCCTTTCCCCACTCATTCTTTGCCTCTACAGCTCTGTGCACTCAGGGTGGTGCTGCAATGAGGCACGGGACCAAGCCCTCTGGCCTAGCCCAATGTGCCCTTTGAGCCTCAGGCTTCTTGGCTTGCTGCTGGACACATATAGGGCAGGGGTATAGGGCCCATAGGTCTGTTTGGTCCTATGCGGCTCAGTGATGTCCTTCTTTTATCTCTAAGTCCACCATTTAAATCTTGAATATATTTTATTTGGGAAGAAAACATTGTACCCTGTCCAACAGTAGACAATGATGTACAGACAGGCTCCCCAGGACCACCACATCAGAATTTCTTCCCCCAAGCTCGGCCGAGCGCACACCTTCCTGGGGGCTTCAGCAGGTTTTCCCAACAGATACCGAGCGTTTCCGCTCTGCACGCACCACCCCCACCCGCTTGGCATCCTTCATAGTCAGCATCCATAGACCGCGTTCTCTTCGCAGCCCTGGCCCTCCCGAGCCTGCTACGTGCACCGACCTTGGTGCTGCCGGGTACTGCTGCACTCCTCTGCAGGAGCGTTCCGCCTCCCGCATGCTCAGGTTCCCCCGGGCTCACCCAGGCACTCACCAGCCGCTGTGGCCTCATCCTCCAAGCGCCCGCGCTACGCCTCTAGCGGGAGGCCTAGAGCAGTGCGACCGCTGCGGGCTCGCGTGAAAGGGCCCTTGTGTGGCCTTGCTAGTGTGGCTGCACCTTTTCCTGCCCAGCCCAGCTGGGCTGTGGCTCAGATCGCTCTGTAGGGCATGGCAGACTTCCCTACACTTCACCTCACTGACTTGCCCCCTCCCCAATTTAGGATTCTTTAACACCACCACCCTCCAGCAGAAAGGAACTAATTCACAGTGAGAACAAAGGACTGTTTCCTGGGTTTCTTGGGCATGGGAGGGCCCTGGAGGTATCTGGATGGGCTGGCATCACTGTGGAGACTGACGGGGGTGTCAGGCTGACAGTGAGGTCCCTATAGGGTTGCAGTCTTGGGACATCTCTGATGTGAGATACTGGCCCAGAAATAGGCCTGTTGCTGAGGCCTGCTCCCATGAAGTGTGCCTGGTTTGTGAAGACAGGGAACTGGTGATAGCTTCTGACTGACCCCAACAACTTGGGACTTTGGAACATGCGTTTAATCTTTATCCAAGTGTTTTTTTTTATTTGCAACTGTTTTTGACCATTGGGTGGAAAGGGAAAGAGCCAAACAGGTCTGTTTTGTAACTCTAGGCAGAGGCTCCAGTCCAAAAGCACAGAGGGCAGGCTGGGAGAAGCAGGACCTGAACCTGGCCATTGTGACCATGTATAGTGATGGACTGATATGCTTAGAATTGCTGGTTCTTGTAGAGGTGGTTCTACCACCCACACTCTCCAGACAAACCCATGAGCTGTCTTACACAACTTCTGGGGCAACTGTCTTTAGCACACTCTTAGAACCTGGCAGGACTGATGCTTTGTACTTGTTGGCTGGTACCTTCTAGCTACCTCAGCTGCAGAGTCTGTCCTCAGGGATGCTTTTCACCCCTTCCCCAGAATTGTAAGCCAGAGACAGCCCCAAGTATCAGTGTCCTGAAATTCGTGCAATTGTGCTGTATATCGCCCACAGCTCACCTCAGATCTGACAGTAGACACTGTCTCCAGCGTGTCCACACTCAGTCTACACACTGTCTCCAGC